AATTACATATAAGAGATGGTGAGGGGAAAGGGGAAAAAAACAAGGGAGAGAATTGAACAACAGCTGATGGGGTAGAGAGGGAAGATGGGAGGGAAGGGGAGGGGGATAGTAGAGGATAGGAAAGGTAGCAGAATACAACAGTCACTAATATGGCATTTTGGAAAAATGTGGATGTGTAACCGATGTGATTCTGCAACTCGTATTTGGGGTAAAAATGGGAGTTAATAACCCACTTGAATCAAATGTATGAAAGATGGTATGTCAAGAGTTATGTAATGTTTTGAACAACCAATAAAAAAAAAAAGAGGGTAAGCTCAAATTTTGAATTTGCCCACAAGCCTTGTTCTTCTTCCTTTAAATGTGATGCTGCTTTTCTGTGGCACAGCAGAGGGAACATTGGGCTGGTGGTTAGGGATTCTGACTCACTAACACTAGTTAGACATGTGATCCAAGTAACCCCTTTAATCACCTAGTTCTCTTATCTGGGATTGTAATGATAATATACCACTAGGATTATTCTCAGCATCAAAAGGACTAGCTAGGAGAGCTGTGTGGTAGTGTGCCCCTGTAGTCCCAGGCCTTGGGAGGCTCAGGCAGGAGAATAACTTGAATCTAGGAGTAGGACAGCCTGGGCAACATCGTGAGACCCCATCTTAATAAAACAAAACAAACAAAACCCCCACTAAACTTAAAAAGAGCTAATCTTTTGGTGAAAGGCATTACTTACTACCCTTATTGCTTATTATAATGATGGAATAAAGATGGCTTTTTTTTTTTCTTTTTCCAGAAGACTTTGCAGAGTCTACAAGTTGCCATTAGGTAGAGGGGAGGGACAGGGAGACTCGGAATGGCCTTTGGGCTCCGGGGTGAGTGCGCTTTTGGTGTAGGCTATGTGTAGAATCGGTAAAGGTCCAGGTCTCTAGTAATTCTGCGGCATGCTGAGCCTACTCATGCTGAGCCTGTGAACTTAGAATGCTTTCAGAAGCAGTTCTGTGAAGCATACCTTTCTGAAGAATAAGTGACTTCAAAACCTGTTGAGCCTTGACTACATTGGAGCTCTGGCCCCGGAAATTTTAATCTGTTACTTGCCCAGCCCTGCTCACTATTTCTGATGATGATTCATTAGAGCATTTCTGCTGAAGGTATAATAGTTTGGTAAATTTTTATTCCCCAAATCAATTTTTTCCTTTCCTCTAAAAGCTAGTAAAACTGATGGCAAATATAAATGAAAGATCAGATGGGTATTGGAATATCCGATATTTGCTAACCGTTTTAAAGGACCGAAGAGGCTTGTTCAGAGGGGTACAGTGCGTCATGCCTTCATGTGGACGATGAGGGAACACGTTATCCACATTCAGTATTTACTCTTGGCATTGAAAGAAAAGTCAGTTCGGCAAACACGTGTTCTCACTCCATACTCCACCCCAGTGCTAGGTCTAAGCTACAGATTCGAATCAGACGTTCTTCCTGTAAGAAAGCAGTCTAGGAGACCTGTGGAACTAGTTGGTGGCGGAAGCAGGCGTGTGGTGTGAGCGCGAGGCCAGGGGTGCACCTCCCAGGGAAGGGTGCCCTGGCCGGAGAGGCTCCACATCCTTGGGATTGTCGGCAGCACTTCTGAAATTCAATGTGTGTTTTCATGATCTGGGGGACCTTGTTAAAATACAGGTTATAGGTCAGTAGACCTAGAGTGGAGCTGTACGTGTGTCCTAGCAAGGATTTACGAGAGAATTATCAGCTGACCCTGTATTCACAGGGCAGAAATGGGAGCTGGGTGCAGGAGCCCAGTTCAGTCACACAGAGGGCATAAGAGGAGAATAGAGTAGAATGACCTGGAAAAAGACAAATAAGGGTGTGTGTGTGTGTGTGTGTGTGTGTGTGTGTGTGTGTGTGTGTGTGTATGTAGAGGGCAGGGGAACAAGGGAACAGCACTTGGTAGAAACCAATCCTAGGACTCCCTTTTATGCATTTAAAATTAAATATTAATTAAGAGAATGAAAAATGTCAGCATATTGTAGATAGTGGGAAATCCCAAACTTGAGCTTGGGTCATGACCTTAATTTTCATGTTCAGGAGATAAAGGTGGTAGAGTTGGAAGTGATGGAAGGACAGAAATGGTGTGCTCAACCAAGTGTGATAACACGTGGTGTATCTGTATCCTGATGTCAGAACGCTGGGTTGATTGGAGCAGAGCAAACACTGATACACAAGAACACTAAGGGGGGAGGCTGGTGATGGGGAGGCTTCCTGTTGGAGGCTTCAGATGCCTGACCTAAGGAGCTGGCGGGTTTTTTTTTTTTTTCTCCATTAAGATGTGATTTTTATTACTGAAATCCCTAAGATAAGGGAATGAGCATGATTTTACCCACTTGTGGTGCCATTGGTAAAACATGACAATATTTTCTTCAAAGGTCTTTTTCTACCCTTGGTGTCCTTCGATTATGTGATACTAGTAGCATAGAGTGACCGATGGTATGGGGATCTGAGGGAAAAAACACCATTGGAATGTTTTGGGCTTGTGAAAAAGGAAAAGTGGAGCTAGAATTTAGCATATACAGATGGGAGTTGAAACACTCAACAAGGAATTTAAAACCTGAGTGTCACTGGGATTCAGGTGGGTGGTGCTGCAGGTGAGAATTTGGGATTCATCTGTTTAAGGCATCGAGTAAAGGAAATAAAAGAGACTGAGTTTGAAGAGACTTGGGATCAAAGACTTGAGCTTGGGCTATGCTCATGCCTTTAGTAGTAGGTCTGAGCGTAAGCATGGTGTGCCTTCAAAGATGTCTGAGGACAGGAAACATGCATATTTCACAAGTAAGTGGAAACTTGCCACAAGGAAGAGTTTAGAAAGTGTGGTGTGGTATGTTTGGCAAGCTGGTGAGTAAAGATGAAGAGGTGGATCTTAAAAATACTAATAATGTAGCACCACCTGGTGTTAGGCATTAGGCATTTTCCAAATGAATTTTTTCTCAGATCAAGTTGGTGTTTCTGTTTTGGATGCTTTAAAATTTTTCACTTTTATAGTTTATTTGGCAGCCTAACATGTGCACGGAGTCATTTATTTTTGTATTAACGTACGGGGGGGGGTTCATATCAATTTGTTTCTGCTTTGATTTCAACTTTGCTTTCTCACAGGATTCTCTGATCTGTTTTCTACCTCAGAGAGGACGTGCTCGTCAGTTACTTCAGGGTGCAGGCTTACAGCCACACTTCTCATAGCCTGATTGCCTCCTCATTTATGCTCTTCTGTCTCTGAAGCCTCGAAAATACAAAGTCTGTGTGAAGCTTTCATCCTTCATCTGAAGTTACTTGATCCTGAATATTCATTTTGTATTCTGACTCTGCTGACAGTGAAGAAGTTTTGAGTTTACAAAACTGAATGTGCCAGCTTTCAAAATGTGCGTTTTTCTTTTTTTTTTTTTAAATCCCAAGGAAAACCTACATGTTTGAAATCTGCACAGCCATCTTGGGCGAACTTGCCTAGGCCACTTCCCAAATCCAAGGCATCTGTGAAAAGTTCTGTGCTGCGGAGGACAGGAAGCAGCCGGTCCATTGCCAGCACCCACAGTGATCTGAGCACCTACAGCACTAATTGTAAGTTGCTCTCGTGTCGAAAATTTGGGGGTGGTTGGAACAGTATTTATATATTTTTTAAAAAACAATGCTCTATAAACAAATAGGAGAATTTTTGATTCTGTATTTAGGAGAAAATCTGCACAATGCTTCTTTGGAATTGTTCAGAAAGTTTGGCAGGGAGTATGAATTCTTTATTAAACATTCTCTGTTGATGAATGTGCTCTGAAGCACTGAAATGATGACGTGTTGAGGCACCTGTTGTGTTTTTTCACGAAGGAGTCTGAAAAGCACCATTTCAGTCAGTGGTATTCTGGGGTTTAACGAAAGAATAACAATGTAGAGGCTCTTGGAACCCAACTGGAACTCAGGGAGATTATAAAAGACTTTCTTGTAGACGTATAATTTTCTATAACTTTTACTTTAGATGCTAGAATCATGCAGTGTAACTAATATGCTGTAACTTCAAGCCTAATTCTAAATAATTGAAATGGAGCATATTTTTAAAGTTCTTCTGTTTTCTGTATAAAAAGTTAATTAGTAAAGCAAATTAATTAAGCTTTCCTTTTCATTTGAAAAATGTAATGGATTCAGCACTTACTTTTTCATTTCCTCCTTAAATTAACTCACAAAATAATTTGTGAACTAATTCAGACCCTCTTGGAGTGCCTACTGTGCCCAGACCCCATCATGATAGGTAATAGTGAGGAATACAGGATATCGATGAAACGGTCCTTATGTAACACATAGTTGAGGAGACCCATACATGTATACTGTGTCACAATACATTCTACTGTCATGTATAACTAAAATGAACAAATAATTTTTAAAAAGTAATCGAGGAGAAAGAAGACGTTTATGTCGGTGACCAAAATATCAGGTAAAACAAGATACAAACATGTGGGGAGGAGTGGAGGATTCTCTCCCTTTTAGGACCAAATCAGTTTCTTCTTTTTGGTGAGGAGATAAGGACAAAGTGGAATAGTGCTTATTGAATCTTTCTGAATATAAAATAGTAGCAGGGCTACTATACATTATTTCATATTTTTCCCTCAAATGACGTCTGTTATCTTGATTTTATATATGAAATAGTTGAAGCTCAGAGATGTTGTTACAGGTCCAAAGTCACACAGCAGGCATGTGACAGAATGGTTTATGGAGGATCAGTCATTGAGTTAATGACAGCACATTTCTGACAAGTCACTTAAACAGCAGGAGCTGGTCTCATATGAAAATTTAAGTAGCAGCAAATGAACACATTAGCAATACTGGAATATATTATCTAAATCTTAACAGGATTATGACCTATTTATTAGTTGAAATTGGGGCAAACATCAGAAGGGTTTGCATGCAGCTGATTATTCTCAGAATTTGAAAAGGTAACTCACACGTGTGTTATTTTAAGATCATTTCCCTTCCAGCCTTCTTTGTTCTACAGTGTGAATTTTAAAAACAAACTGCCAAAGCAGAATCACCAAGTACCCACAGGGATAGGGTTTGTGACCCTGGACTGGAAGCAGATGCATTTTCTAGTGCTGTCACCCAGCGTTTTCCATCGACAGCCATGTTGGCTTGGACACTGCCTCAGGACCGTGTCTGACACTCCTAAGGAGGCTGTAAAATGCTTTTGTCATTCCTTTTTGTCTGTTAACAAAGGGGTTCACCATACACCCACAGAGCTGTCTAGTGGCGATGTGTCTCTGTTGCAGATTAAGCATTCAAATCAGTGAGTCTCTTTCTTAGTTTGATTTGCTAGCTGGTTTAATCTGTTTTGTGTAGTGCCTTGGAGCGCACAGATTTTTTTTTTTTTTCCCTCCCCTCCATTCTAATTCACTAAGAGCAAGCATGAGGGACACGAGAGTGAGCATGGCTGCAGTTTTTCCTGATTGAGCTTGCTTTGATCCTTTTAAATGACTGTACCAGGAGGATTTCGCAGTTGTACAGAAACTGATATTTCTTCAAAAATCTTTATCAATTCTACACTCACCCCACCGGCTGGTTCAGAGAGGCACTATGATGCTACCTTATTGACACTGCTGGTCGTGGGATCCTACAGCCTTTGTATAATCCCTTTGTTAGCCACGTTTACTGGGAAAAGAAGTAGGTCGATGATTTCTGGTTTGATTCTTTTCTTTGTAAGCATGCTTGAATTTCTATTCAATAAATTGGTTTTAGGACCTCTTGATTGTTATCTTTGTAATTTGTAGTTTGTGTTAACTATAGTATTTCTTAGGCGTATTTAAATATATTTAAGATGTGAATACTTCTGTATAGAACAAATTTTATTGTATATTTTGTGTATTTGGAGATTCTTACTAAATGTAACTTAGAAGCATTGTCAGTATTCTTGGCATATAAAATGATGCTATTCTCAAAGACTATTTGATAGTTTAATTTCTTATTAGTAGCTTTTGTGTATGTAGTTTGTGGTTGTACAAGTCTAGAAAAATACTTTCCTACAATTATAATTGAAACATCACATCTTTGATTAATTTCTTCAATCATAATTAACATGTGTTTCATATAAAAGTACTAAATGTGCATATTTTAAACTAATTTTGATCTGGAATTTTCCTGCTTCTCAAAATGGAGGGTCATGTTAGGAAATAATCTATTGATTAATGTTTTGATTCTTATTGGCTTTAGCATTTGAACCCTTTTAAAGGATGTTGGTTTTTTGCTTTGTTCATTTCTTTGTGATGTGACAAATGGTGGCAGCATCATTTAAGAACTTCTGAGGAGTAGTGTAGTGCTATTGTGAAATTAGCATCCAGTTCTCAGCACTTTGGGATCCTATAGAAATAACATAAATGAATTAAGATGTGTGGAAGACAATAATTTTTCTTATTTCAGAGTTTTGGCGGGCATTTTATATGTATACGTTTTTAAACACAGAAAGATTGAAAGTCATGAAGATGGTTTCCTTTGGATATTAGCATAAAACACAATAGTGTCTGTAACCAGACACACTCATTTATTGAGGTTAAATATCATAAGCTATTTTTAGAGTCAGGTACCTAGCATCCAGTTTTTAAGACCATTAAATTAATTGGATAAGGATAAATGATATATTCTGGATGTTGAAAACAGTTGAAGATTTATAGACCATTGTGCAATTTAGGTCTTGAGAGAGTGTACAATTTTGCCCCATTGGCAGGAATCTGAAGTCCAGAGACTTCCTTCCCTTTTCACTTTGGCCACAAAAAGCATGTTTATTTTTGAGGGCAGATGGTGCAGGCAAGAGTATGAGATGCAAACTGAAGCTGTTTGCATTCTCTTGGAAATAGATCAGGAGACTAAATAAAGAAATGGGTGTTCTTTTCTGTCACCTTTATGGCTAGCCCTGGCTGCCCGGATGGGGGGTAGGGGTGGCACATAGAAAAGGACACTCACCTCAGGCTCATCCTAGTTTTCCTGCCAGTTCTGGTGAAGTTGGATGGTCCTTCTCTTTGCCTCAGTCTTCTCATCTGAGGAATGAGAGGGGAAGGGCTAGGTCATCTTCAGAAGCCATATGCAGCAAATGCCTGACTGACTTTATTCCCTTCATTCATTCATATAAAAATTCATTCATATTTATTTATTCATTGCAATAAGAAGGTGCCTGATAATTTGGAAGGAGGGTGTTCTGAGTTGTTCAGGCGATGAAGCCGGTAGAGAGAAGGAGTCTTGTTCACCCTGTTTTTTGTTTGGTTGTCATGGCAGGAATGGCAAGTGAGTATGAACTTGCCCGCCAACACGGGTCAGTTGATAAGAATCTCCAGGAAGTGCAATGCTGCCACTTTCTCAGGCTGCTTCCAGGCTCCGAGGGGAAGCTTTGTTTGACTAGTAATGTCTGCCGTAGGTTAGGAGGCTGGGAGAGGCAGCGGGCTCTGCATCAAGGCTACATTTCTACTTATGCACTGATGTGTGGACTGTTTAATATGGAAATTTAACCCAGAACACTTTTTTGTTCCCCTTGTTTTTCTGATGTATACAAAGTTGGAACATTTTGCTTTTGAAATCCTAAAGCTTAGGCTTTCAGTAGTGATTTGATTTTAAGCCAGGTGGGCAGATGATCTGGCACAGTGGGGAGTGTGAAACTGATTCACAAAAAAATTCAAGAAATGAACAGAAGGTTGGCTCTGTGTGTATATACATAATTCAGTAAATAAAAAAACCACACTAATTTCAAATATATGCTAGAATGTAGTTCATTTACACATAAACTGGACTGATAAGTTTTTGTTATTTTTGTTGTTTGGTTGCTTTGCAGTGCTGGCAGCCAAACTGAGGAACTTGTGCATGCTACGCTGAGCTACAGACCCAGCCCCTGATAAATCCTTTTCTAAAAGTAAAATTATTTCTTCTGCTTAGACTTTGAGAAGATTGTTTCATTTTCTTTTTTGATTTTTTTTTCTCTCTCATTTCACATGAAGCACGTTTTGCCTTGGGGAAATGAAAATAAATATTCCAGAGAGTCCATTACTTCAGCATAATTTAGATAGGACTAAAGATGACAACATAATTTTAAAACTACATATTAGAGCTGAGACCTGGGTGGTCACATGTAGAATTCACACATTGAATCCACAGTCCAAGTGTTCTGGGGTGGTCATGGCCCCAGGAGCACTGTGCTAGGATGATTCTGAGGATGCATCTGGCCTCCGTAGGTCTGAGTACCGTGATGGGTTGGTGGGTCCCCGTGTTATAGCACAGGGAGGCAGTGGCCAAGTCGGGACCAGAGCCTGAATATCCTGGCTCCTGTTCCATTGCTTGAACATTGGTTATGCTTCTCTTACTATATTGGAATCATCGCCACCAAAGAGTTCATCATCTGGGAATAATAACTCTGGATGAGGAAATTTTTAGATAGCATCAGGATACCAGATCAGCTGCCATTTTAGGAACTAAAATAGAAAGTAGGAGAAATATTTTAAGGGCATCATGCCTCATCCTTCAAGATGGCATTGACTAAAAAGCAAAGAGCCAGCTGGAGTAGAGTGTTTTGAGAATTGAAAGGTATTTGGGTGTTGGGTCATAAAAGTATGTTCAGTGTAACAATTTGCCTCACTAAGTGGGATGCATATATAATGGATCACACTATACAGTATGTATATATGTATATTTTTACCTAAATATGTAAGTAAGCCATAAAGATACAAATATTTTTGTATCTGAGTAAGATGCAGACATGTTATGCTTGAAATAATTTTAATTCTCGTATGTCCCAAAGTTGATGAGGGATCTGGTGCTAGGGGCTGTTGTATCGAGCTTGTTTTGCATATGATAGAGAATTTTTAGCAGACATGAATGTCACATCTCATGACAAATATGTCCTTTGCTTCAGTAAGAAATATTTTTACTAAATTCTTTTGCAAAGTGCAGGTCTAAAGCTTAGGAAAAAAAGCATGAATGCAGAATCATACAGTTTTATATTACTTTCAGAAATTTAACTGAACATGTGGCTTGATTTGTTTGCTGCTAAATATAACAAAAATTGCTTACAGAAAAGCAAGACTAAAATCCCAATTGTTATTAATCATGGTTAAGATTCTAATAACATCATTTTCTTCCTTTATTGGATTCAATTTTACAAAAACTGGAATGCTCATTGAAGCCTGATAACCATATTATATGAAAATCTAGAAAATAACCTATGAAATTTTGAGTCTGTCATTTTAAGACTGTAACATTCCCTGTACATCTACTAAAAAGTGCTGTTGAATTTTACAGTAGTAGCACCTTTAGGTCTGTCATTTCCCTTAGTTTCCTGTCAACTTTTGGAAAAACAAGCTCTAAGTGCCGGGGAAGGTGAGAATTGGAGAAAAGGTCAGGAAAGTGACAGCAGCTTGTCAGCAGGGGGGAAGGCTCTGAGTGATTTGACCTAATATTAGAAAAGTTATCTGTGCCCAAGAAGAATTCACAGATGGCTTATTGTACAAGAATTGGATGAGGATCAGGGGAGCATAATTGCTTGTGGTTTTTTTTTTTTTACAAGTTTCCAATGTGACAGCTATGAGCACTATTGTAGGAATTAGGATAGTTCTGCCTAGCAAAAACTTTCTAGCGGTCTTCACATTGATAATGTATTTGTAAACAAGGTAAACATCTTAACCTTTGCTGAAAGCGGAAGATGAGGAAAGGCATCAAAGGGGTAATTAAGAAATGTGTGAACATAGGGCCGAATAGCAGAGTAGCATTAGAGGTTTGGAATTAGATGTTGAAAATTATTTAAAAACAATAAAAAATCGGGCTGGGGTTGTGGCTCAGTGGTTGAGCGCTTGCCTCGCATGCAGAGGTACTGGGTTCGATCCTCAGCACCACGTAAATACATAAAATAAAAATATTGTGTTTATCTACAACTAAAACACATTAAAAAAATAAAAATAAAAAAATAAAGTCTTATTGGTGGAGGAGAAACTTTTCCATGTAATATAGAAGGTGATTTTTATTTAGGTCGGAGTCCCTTTGATCTTTTTTGCTTTGGGGCTAGGCACCTTAACAACAGGGCAGCTGTTGGCATTTCAGATTCTTGCTGCAGCAGCCAGGGATCATAACCAGATCTCATGTTGGAATTTAGAGTTTTATCTGATTGTCCTTGTGTCATTAATGTAGCTGGCTAGCTGTACTCTGCCTTGTACCTGTGGAGATGTATGCTTCTCCTGTCTGCACCTTGGGCATGACTGTTACATAACATGGGTAGCCATATGATCTACCTCCCAATTTTTATCTGGGATGAAGGGTGAACTGTACAAGATGTATAAACTTGGATAATGCCAGGCAAGCCAGAATGTATGGTCACACTGGTTATAGCATTACTTTGTGTCCTTGAAGATACAAGATTGAAAACATGAACTCCCTTTGTATATCCAACACTAAGTAATGACCGGCACATTATAGATGCTCAATGAGCATTTGTTGATTCAAGGAAGAAGGAGTAACTGTGAAAGATTGATTATGCTCCCCTGATCCTCATCCAATTTATTTACTTATAAAAAGTACTTTTCTATTTTATTACAGCTGGTAATGCTGCTGCCATCAAGTATGAGGAGAAACCTCCAAAACCAGCATTTCAGAATGGCTCAGGATCCTTGTATTTGAAGCCTTTGGTACCCAGAGCTCATGTGCACTTGCTAAAAACTCCTCCAAAAGGTATGGTCTTTAGTATGGATAGAAGGAGAGTAAGACATGTAGAGTCCTTGACTTGTAGGAAGTTAAAATTTGACAATTAGGTTTATGGTATATTTTGCATTTAAAAAAAGGTATTGAATAAGGAGATAGAATACATTTGACGCTGAGAGAGTTGCTCTTGTTATGAGATTTAGTAGATTCTGTAAATAAAACCTGTTAGATAAAAGTCCACAGGTAAAAGAAGGGTATAAGGTGAAAGTAACAGAAGAGTTAAATTATTGTAACACACTAGAGCATGAGACATAAAGGAGCAGAAATTTATGATTTGCTTTCTGTCAATGTTTCATGGTTATTAATTTCTTGTCTTTGTTCCAAGACCATGTTCATTTCTCTCTGCTCTTTATCTCTAATCTTTCCTATGTCACTCACTATAATTGCTGTAGCTGCTAAGAATAATTTTTGGGGTTTATAAAACATGCTTATATATTCTTCACATGTATATACTTCACATGCAATGTTTTCACATAAGTTTCTCACAGTGGGTCTGACACACATCAGAAGTCTTCCTTGTTCTAACAGTATTGAGGACATACTAACCACCTGATAAGTAATGGCTATTATTATGATTCATTAAAACAAACAGCATCAAGCTGTTTCATATGGGATAGGGACGGGGAGATGGGAGGAATAGGGTAGGGAGGTGGGAGAGGAAGGAGGGGACACCGAGTTAGAAATGATGATGGAATGTGGTGGACATCATTATCCAAAGTACATGTATGAAGACACGAATGGTGTGAACATACTTTGTATACAACCAGAGATATGAACAGTTGTGCTTTATATATGTAATACGAATTGTGACATTCCATTGTCATATATAACAAATCAGAAAAAAGTCTTCTTTTGTCCTTAGTGAATTAAAAGATTGCTTAACTGAAAGAATAAATGTAAATGAGAGAATCAACCCACAAAATGAGACCTGTTTTTATATTAGAGAATTTAGAAAACAGAAACATGAAAAGTCTTTGTTGATTCTGTCAGCCACCAATTACCATTGCATTTCCTTCTAATTGTTTTCCTATATATATAAACAAGGTTTTGTTTTTGTTTCAACAATATCAAGGTCATAGTGTATTCATCCTTTAGTATATTGCTTTTTTTAATTAATAGTATATCGTGAGAGTTTCTTTCACTTTTAATGGTGATATACTTTCCAATTCTATTGTGGTCCAGTTAGTTTATATTGGATAGTATCTGACTTCTATTGTGGTACATAATACTGAGATGAACATCTTTCAATATGAATCATTGCTCATTGTTTCAGATTCTAATTACTTCCTCCTGATATTCTTGAAAGGAGAATTACTAGGTTTAACTGTATGAATCTCTTTGTTAGTATATATTACTAAGTAACTTTCTAAAAAGGAGTTACTCTCCAACAGTAGTATGAGAGTATCCATTGCTCAGCATTCTGAACAGTTTAGTGTATTTGTGCCTCTGTGTGTGTGTCTGTGTGTCTGTGTGTCTGTATGTATATATCTCCATGTATTCGGGTGTGTGTGAGTGATCATGTGGTAACTTAAAGGTAATGGACCTATTGACTGTTTATCAACACTTTCTTCTTGCTACCTAATTGAAGAGACAATTTCAAGTATTGGAACAAAAATTCTTGAGTGTGCCATCCTTTTCTCATTTGTCCATGCTCTTAAATACATTTCTGAGGCGTCAAATGGCCCTTTCCTGGGATAGCATCA